CTGGGTTGTGATGAGCTTATCCAGTCGCTTAAGGAACACAGTTCTCTTGGCCCTCAAAACTGGGGAAGTCATGACATGAAATCCTCGTTGGTTAATAGTGGTCGTAGCGTCAGTGGTGATAAGTTTCTCGGCTTCGATGTCGTCAGAGCAGACTACAACGAAAGCTTCTTGGAGCGATAGAATCGCATTACATTTACCCTGCAATATGCCGCTAAGTTTGGACGAGTCGTTGACTGTCTCACTTCTTGATTTGATCTTCACACGATTTGAGAAATGCATCGCAGAAGATGACGTCGAATGCAGAAGTAAAAGTTCCCCTCCCGACGGGGGTCGCAGGGACTGACATTATCATGATAATGAAAGCAATCAAGACTACACCTAACACCACGTACTACACTGGATTTGTAATAACACAAACTAAATCCTACACTGGAGTTGGAATAACCCAAAGTGAACTCAATAAATAGTAAAACTCTACAGAAGGCATCCTGTGTTTAACTGAAAAACATTGACATATTGCAAAGCCACACTTTGTGAATGTGTAAATGGTCCAAGTCGGACCGAAACGTCGTCGTGAGCTCCTCTCTCCTATGTGCGGGTTATTTGTGTATTGTTCCTGTCACGGTGTTGTGTTTTTTTTTTTTTTGGTTATTCATTGACATATAACATGAGAAATTATCTCTTTCCAAAATTCGTATTTTCTGAGGTTCACAAGCGAGCACCTTATTCTTATGAATAGAAATATAGGAAATATAAAACCATGATAATATTAATTGAGAAATTGACGTCGACATTTATACAAAATTTATTCAGATATATAATACACAAATATGAAATATTACCTAACTGAATCACATAATGGAAAAGTAAAACGTAACTTGAAAACGAATATCTAAGACAGGAAAAACATCACATTTTTCATCAGTAAGAGGAATGGAAGAGCCAGTGGTACCGTAGTTTGGCTTCAACTCACCTGTTTACAATATATAAGCCACTTGTCAGAGCACATTCTGTACTTTTCTCAAGACTGCTGGACTGAACGCATCGACTCCAGTAATAAAAAATGCCATAGTTCCAAAATAAAAAAAATGAAATCCATATAATCTATATTCTCCTCAAAGGTTGTCTTCACTGGCTCTCACTGAAACTGAGTCATTTATATAACAAGACACTCAAAAATATTTATATGACAAATCTCACGTCCCGTTTTAAATTCCTCTCTCATTTCTAGGTTCAGTAATTGTTTGATGTTTACATAATGGTTCAGAAGCAGAATGGAGACTTCACGTCTTTCATATTTCTTCCAAATCATTTGCCACTAACCATTTTACATGTCTGACGACTCTGCTATAACTAACTTTCTGCTAGAAGTCCTGCAAATATAGTATATTTGTAGCTCCTTGTTTCACGTGCAATAACACTAGCACCTCTGCCGCTGCCTGCTCTAGTGACACTGACAGCTCTATAGCTGCTTGTTCCACTGACAATGACAACTCTCTAGCTGCCTGCTCTGCTGACACGAAGAGCTCTGTGACTGCATCTGACACAATGAAAGCTCTGCATCTGATATAGTGCAGCCGCCACTTCTGACAAGGTTCAACTCTTCAACAGACTCTCTTGTCTTAAGTCTATCTTAGACATTTTCAGAAATGTTGTCTCTCCTGTCTTTCCAATAACAAACTTAGAGTTCCACCTCTTCATTCTAAGCTGCTTTACAGCATTAAAAACAAATTCCAAGAAAGTGTATATTCCGTAGGACGCAACTCATTGTGTGGTGAGAACATATGCAAAAATGTTTCCCTATACATTGTCTCGCATGATTATAAGCGCGTATAAATTCCACTTTTGTTCACGGGTGTTTAAATTTGTTCTTAATAGTATCTAACCTCTTTAAGTTGTTCCCTTCTCTGTTAATCAATATGGATCCGATTACACTAGCGAGCTGCTCTTTTATCTTAGCTCTGGAAATAGGCAAAACTACTCGCACTTATGCAGTCCAACCTGCCGTTCATCGGAACTTCAAACTATTTATATGCCTTTTCTGTTATATTCATGTTCTCTATTTCAAGTGATTCAACCTCTTCTCCTTACTCTATCAGCTGTCATGTCCTGCAAGTATTTCTTAATTCCTGAATGCACAAATAATTCTTTAAAGATTTAATCTGTTATAAGGAAATTTTGAGTCAACCCAAGTGTCAGATCACTAGGTCCTGAACATATAGACACAGATGTAATACATCACCATGGCAACTACAGGTAAGTGAAATAGACAAAATAATAACTAAATACGAAGAAAATCTACACTTACATGAAAACTAAACGTCACAATAAGAATAATTCACAATTAACGATGTTTTAGCTCGTTCTGGGTTATTGTTAGGTCGCATCTGAGAGAAAAATAGACAAGAAGACGGGACAGGTGAAGAAGGGTAAAGCAATTTAGAAGACAGGTTAGGTGATAAATGAGGAGAGAGAAAACAGGTCAAGAGGAAAGCCTCAC